TATATATATATATATCATCTCTATCATTTTTACTGTAGTTTATCATTGCCATTGTTTACTGTCCTGTCTGGAGCAGGTCTCTTATAAACGAGTCCTTCTGGCTCCATGAAGCCAACCTGTATAAATAAAAGGTTGAATAAATCATTATGTATATATTTATATTCATTCAACCTTTATTGATACAGGTTAGTTCCATTGAGCCAATAGGACTCATTTACAAGAGAGACCTGGATTTTAACAGAGTGATGACAACAGTGGACAACAAACTGTTTTTCAATTGTAAAACAAACAATAAAAAAACTTAAATTTGTATGAATCATTTGTGAATGTCTATTGTCGTTGTTATCACTCCAGGTGCTGTGACCAACATCTGTGTTGGAAGAGACACAGTCTGATCCAGTTCCATCCATCCATTTTCTTTACCCACTTATTCCATTTCGGGTCACGGGGGTCGCTGGTGCCCATGTCCAGCAATCACTGTGCAAGGGGCGGGGGACACCCTGGACGGGTCGCAAGTCCATCACAGGGACACATAGAGACAAACGAGACAAACAACCATTCACTCTCTCACTCACACCTAGGGACAATTTAGAGTTACCAATCAGCCTAACATGCATGTTTTTGGACTGTGGGAGGAAACCGGAGTACTCGGAGAAAACCCACGCATGCACGGAGAGAACATGCAAACTCCACCCAGAAAGGCCCCTGGACCGGGGTTTGAACCAGGGACCTGCTCGCTGAGAGGCAGCAGCTCTACCAGTTGTGCCACCGTGCTGCCCCTGATCCAGTTCTAATGTCGCTGTTTATAGAACAAGGCACACGTCGCGCTGCACTATAACATAAATGTGCTAAATAATAAGTTTAATAATAATAAACAGTATTTATCTTAAGTTTGAGATATATAATGAAGCTATCTGGACATTACGTAATTCAAATTATGTGATTAAATGATGCTAAACATATTGCATGCTATTAACGTTGAAAATGAAGACATCAGGTTTAATTTTTATTTTATTTATTTATTCAACACCACAAACTGATAATTAAACTGAACATTGAATGGATTGAATAAAAGAACTGAGGGGAATTTTAAATAAACAGTTCATCCATCATCTCTCTCTTCGACGTCCTGCTGCCAAGCCTCGTTCAGAACCGGTCCGCCTGGTGGAGACAGCTCCTTCTTCTTTCAGGAAAAAATAAAAACTCAGTTGGTTATTTTGTAACTGATGTAAACACAAGCTAACATTATTAAGAACATTTGATTTACCTGCTGTAAACCAGCTACTGATGATCACGGAGTAAAGTCCAACATTGTCGACTCGGTTCTGGTCCACTCAGCGACCGGTGTGGAGCTGTTAGACGAAGCGGTCCCGCTTGGCGTCAAATCTGTCGACTCTTTTATCCACAATCCAGCCAGAATCCAGCCAGAATCCAGCTTTAACTTGTTGTTAAGATGAGCATGGACTTTGTTGTTGTTAGCAGAGCTTGTTAGCTCACAGGAAACAGCGTGCCGAGGCAGCAGCATGCGCATTAGGTGAAGGTACAAAATTCACAGCGCCATCTAATGACCCGGCATGGTAACTACAGCGGATTCAGGAGGGCGGGGGGAATCATGCGGATGCATGTAAACCCAAAATACGACCGTGTCAACGCGGATCTTTTCCTCTAATGAACATACGAAAAAACCTACGTCCGTGTAAATAGGGCCTTGGTCTAGCACCGAATGTCAGCCATGACGAGGAACGGCGGGCGGGACTTCCTTCAGAGGTCCGCTCACCTTGTGGGCCGCACTAATATTATACTTTCATATCACGGTGGGGGCCACGAGACATCGTCCTGCAGGCTGCTATTGGCCCGCGGGGCGTGAGAATGAGACCTCTGCTACAGATAGATATCTTAAATGCACCAGCAGCGTTGTTAATAATTTTCTTTTTTAAATCAGCAAACAACCAGGTAATGACTCCACTGACTGGTGGTGGTGGGGGGTCTTCAGTACAGTGGGTGAGGTGATCCTTCAATGTGACTCAGGACATCATACCAAAAAATATGGATTCAAGTTGAAGGTGGCTTGTATTTGAAACCATCCAAAACTAGGGGTTGAACGAGTATATCATTTTTAAACTCGACATTAACATAATAAAACCCGAATAGAACTCGAGTATTTGATGACGTCATAGATCTCAAGATACAAAAATAAATAAATAAATAAAACTGCAAAAAAAAGTTAATTATTTACAAAAAAAAGACCAAAAACTTTGGGAGCATATATTATGCTCCTACCATTTATCATACTGCAAATAAATCACAGGAAAAACTAAACTATTAGTTATTATTATTAAACTGCAAACATGAAGAAACATGCAGCACGTCAAAAACAAAACAAACCGAAACTGGTTCTGGTGGATTGGACCTGGTGTTACACCAGACTCTGTGAGCTGCAACAGTGCAACACTGCCCCCTACGGTCATACGGTGGTCACATAATATGACGTCACTACGGATACTCGACGTAACATTTTTAACGTCGATAGAGGTCCTAGCAATCGATGTGTAGATTACTCGAGTACTCTGTTAATGCCCTATCCAAAACAAGAAAACTCCCACAGATCTGAACAGGGACCAAATAAAGAACAATCGACTATGAAACAGAAAAGAGCCTTACAGTGTGATCTCTGCCCACAGATCCTTGAGCTGTGAATCCATATGACCTGCTTGGATCAGATCCACCTCCTTCTTCAGTTTCCTGTCAGAACAAGAAACAGACAAAAAATTATAAATGTTATCTCCCATTCGATAAATGCCCCTATTCTCAGCTCCAGACAGTACAGAGTGACATTCCTGGTGTTCAGTTAACTTCAAAGAAAATTTCAATTTCAGATGCAAGATATTTGTAAAGTCTTCCTTGGATAAAAAAGTAAGGAGTTCAATCTCCAAGGACAAAATACAGATTTTGGGACCGTGCTCTAACCACTCAGCCACAGCCGCCCCCTATATACCGCCCAGCGTTATCAGCATGCACACTCGAGGCTGTAAATTGGACCAGTTTGCCAACTATAATAACTACCCCTCTTGATTTGGATTGAAAGTTGGACTGAAACACCTGATACCCATCCAGGCTGTCACATTGTAAAGTTTGCAGATGATACAGCGGAGGTGGGATGCATCACAAACAACGATAAGCCCAACTCCAGGCAGGAGGTGGAACACCTGGAGAGCTGGTGCAGGAAGAACAACCTTCACATCAATGTGAAGAAGATGAAGGAGATGATTGTGGACTTCAGAAGGAACAAACACACCTCCACGCCCCTGAACAGAAGATCTGCGGTGGAAGTGGTCTCCAGCTACAAGTACTTGGGTGCACACATGAACAACAACCTCACCTGCAATTTATCCAGTTTCAGGGCTTCCATTATCATTTTAGCTATCACCATAGATGAGCATTCACCTGCCGACTCAGCAACCATGTCATTAACTGGGGGTCCTCTTACAGAAAATGTTGAACAACAGAGATGTCATTTCCTGCATCTTGGTGTATTTTAACAGGTTGTTATACATCAACATTTACCTACATTTGTAAACACTTAATAAAATTAGTATTTTGGAGAAGAACAGCAGGTTGTGTAGCTCTGATTCTGTCAGGCGTCCTACCCCCCCCCCCCCCCCACTCACTTCATGGTTCTGAGCTGAACTCTCCTCTGCTCCTGCTCCAGTCTCATGGCACCGTTAGAAGCGCCTGAAGGCTTCAGTTCTCTGTTGTCCAACTAAGGACCAACCAACCGACCATCCATCCATTTTATTAAACAGAATTGTCTTTTTGATAATTTGATCTCTGTTGTTATTTTGACAAATTAATGCCGTTGTTTTGAAACGTGACGTATAATGTGAATAACACATCAAACATTTCTCTCTTTGTATTTTTAATGTATTTTTTACAGTAAGTTTGTTTTATTTATTGTCTGAATTCAGACACCTGCTCATGTGCACACGCTGTGGAGAGCTGTCTGGAGATGTTTCTGTGCGTAACGTGCACTGTCCACAGGGCATTTATATATTGGATGGATGGACTGTACCTATATAATCACCTTTCTATCTGATCAAGACACTCAAAGCTCTTCACAACAATCTGTGGCTCATTGACCCATTCATACAGCTCTATACTAGATTTATAGAAAGATAATTGAACAAATCATTCTATAGAGAATAATCAGAGACTAATTTTTTTTCTCTCTATCCTCTGGTGGAACCAGACGCGTTTCCCTGTCCCCCCCCCCGCTGCACCCTTTTGTCTTGTGAACCCTTAAAAAGCCTCTTTTTTCTGCATACCTCTTAATTCGAAGGATCAGTTGGTCTCTTAAAGTTGATCAACTTCTCCCGACAGGAGTCAGGGTAAGGAGGACACTCTTACCTCGACGGAAACACATTGGATTCATGATGACAACTGGTTATTTTGCTGTTTGGTTGGGGAAATCTTGGATTGTCTACAAATTTGTGTGGATGTGTCGAAGCTCGACAGTGCTCAGACTGAATGTGGGAAGCTGCAGCAGGGAGCTGGAGCAGCTGTTATCAGGACTGTGATCTTCCTGGCAGCACTCATGAATGGTGGAATAATCTGGAGAAGCTGTGAGCTCAACTTTTGGAGTAAAGGATCAATTCGGCTGTTTTGGAGTTTCCATCAGAGGAATATGTACCAGCAAGACTTTAAAAAAGGCAGAAACAACAATTCACGAGTTCTGCCTGACCCAAACTGTGGCCTTGATGCCGGACTTCTCTCAACTCCTCCTGGAATGTTTTAAAACAACAAAGATGCTTTAACTGTTTCCTCACCCCTCCCTTCCCCAAGGCCGTGGACATGTGACCGAACCTCAACTGAGCTGAAGATGAACGTCACCTCTTATCTGGACAATGGCCGAGGGGGGGCTCTGGACTATGCTACGACTTTCCCTTAAAAATTCAATGTTTTCACCGCCTATATGTTCATGTATAACGTCTGTTTATGTTGCTTTGCTGTGGAGATTTTTTTGATGCCTCAGATCGTGCCCTGTCTAGGACACGGTGTGAGAGATCTTTTTTTATACCGTCTCTCCTCATGTTTTCTTCCCTTTTCTCATCCAAGTAAAATATTATTCTGAATAAGAATAAGAGGGCCGCGCTATTTAATAGCAGCAGCTTTGTGCACTCCACCCATCTTTCGGACGACTCTACATACATATTCTCATTGTATCTCAGTGCAATGCCAACAATGTTTATTCTGATTCTGAGATTTATCACATTCATACACTGATGGGACACGCAGAGGATATGAGGGGTTCACTGTCTTGCCGAGGGACACTTTGGCATGTGGCTGCTGGTGGATTCAAACCCCCAACTCTTGCATTGGAGGACGACTGCTCTAACCACTCAGCCACAGCTGCCCTATTCTGTAGCTGCTAAAACGTAAACATCATTCAGGAATTAAAGTGTCTGTTTTTAGCCCAACTGTCAGTTTGTACGACCTCACAGCGGCTTTTCCTCACAAATCCTCCACACACAAGCGGGCTGGTGTACTCCAACAGGGGTTAAATCACCGCAGCCCGAGAAAACACACAAAATGCACACGTGAGCAACACAGCAGTCAAAGTGAATCTTTTCAGCAGACCGAGTCCAGTGGGAAACCTCGCTCTCAGCCCAAGCTGTGTGTTTTCTCCCTCGGCGTACACCAGCTCACATCAGCACGGATGTGAGCCCACAGCCAGAGCGCAGCACAGAAGCGCCACGCCCCGCGGCATCAGCAGTCCTCACCTACACGGTTCCGCATGCTAAAGGGCGCGTGCATTTTTCCCTCAGCGCACACCAGCTCACATCAACACGGATGTGAGCCCGCAGCCTGTGCGCAGCACCCGTGGCAGCACTAAACCTACAAGGTTCCGCATGCTCGGAGGCGTGCACCTGTCGCTCAGAGCACGCCAGCTCACATCAGCACGGATGTGAGCCCGCAGCCTGAGCGCAGCACAGAGGCGCCGTGCCCCCGCGGCATCGGCAGCCCATACACGGCCCGCATACTCGGGGCGCGCGCTTTTTCCCTCATACAACATTTCCATTTAAAATGCGTCGAGTCGCTCTGCAGCCGCCACACAGACCAGGGAGGAGAATTCTGCTTTATCTGGACAATCTGTTGATACTGACCTGCTTTTCCAGACAGGTGGCAGCAGTGCAACTGACGTGAAACCGGCAGAGTGATAACAGCTGGTTCCGTCAGCAGACTTACGTCACACGTGTCAGACTTCACAGAGCCACATGCATTTCTCGAGCTGTGGGGGCGCTGTGGCCAGCCCACACAGCAGCTCATATAAATGTTTTTGGAGTGTCACGGTTCTTGAATGTGATTCAACACTTTGCCTCTGTGCTGCGGAATCATCATGTGTTGATTCACACAGAGAGCAAGTGACTGTTGCATACAAAACCGGCAAGGGGGGGGGGGGGGGGGCGCGCTCAGCCCAAATGTTACACATGGTGAGACAGTTGCTGTGTTGGGCACACCAAAATCTGCTCTCCATCAGAGCAGTGTACATCCCCGGTGTTCTGAATAGGGGGCGGATGTGATGTCCAGGGGCGGTCCGTATCACGGGGACTGGACCCTCCATCCAGATCTGATGGCTCAGACATGGCAGAAATTTAGCAAAGCGGCCGTGGACCTGTTTGCAACACGAGAGAACGCTCAGTGTCAACTATGGTTCTCACCGAGCCCGCGAGACAAACCACCGCTAGGGGTGGACGTGTTTGCTCACAGCCTGTGGCCCAAAATGCTTCTTTATGCATTTCCCCCACTCCCTCTGATATCATGGTTTCTGAACAGAGTTCAGGAGGAGGGATTGACAGTTCTCCTGGTGGCTCCCGAGCACGTGAACGCACCATGGTTCCCAGTTCTACGACACCTGTTATCGGGGCGCCCGTGGAAACTGCCGTGGAGGGAGTATGCTCTCCTCCAGGCAGGAGGAGCGATCGTGAGTTACCCAGAAATAGGGCAGCACCTTTGGGTCTGGCCGCTGAGCGGATCCGCTTAGAGAGGATGGGTCTCTCTCAAGATGTAGTGCGCACAATCCAGGATTCACGTGCTGCAACCACCACAGCGCTTTACACATCAAAGTGGACAGTTTTTCAGCGCTGGTGTACAGAGAAAGGTGTAGAGGCCACCTCATGTCCACTAGGCGGCGTGCTGTCCTTTCTGCAGCAGCTGATGGACAGAAATCTGACATTCAGCACGATTAAAACATACGCTGCAGCCATCTCTTCTTGTCACAAAGGTTTTGGGGACAGAACAGCTTTTAATCATCCGCTGATGAAGCGTTTTTAAGAAGGTGTACAGAGACGCAGACCTGTTTTCACACCCACTTGCTCCAAAGTGGGATTTAACACTGGTCCTGCGGGCCCTGATCAAAGCTCCATTTGAGCCTCTGGATCAGGTTCCACTTAAAATCTTGTCTCTTAAAACAGTCCTGCTGTTGGCTTTAACATCCGCTAAGAGGGTGAGTGATTTATCTGCCCTCTCTGTCGCTCCGTCATGTCTCAGAATTCAGGCTGACGGCAGCTCAGCTGATCTGAGGTTTAATCCAGCATTTATGCCTAAAACATCACGAGCTCTTTAAATCAAGTGCGATATCGTTGGAGGGTTTTTTTCCCTCCTCCCCACAATCAGAAGAAGAAGCATCTTTCAATCTTCTCTGTCCTGTGTGAGGCCATTTCTGAAGCCTACAGAGCATCAGATTT